TCCAGATTCAGACTATTTTTCGTCTTCTTCGCAGCCCTAATCCAATCACCCAGACATAATTGAGCCTCCAAAGAATCAGGAGGCATGGTTGATTGTCCCTCGCTCAATATGTTGCCTCCAGCACTAAATACCCGCTCCATTGCCCCAGTCGAGACCGGGCAGGCGAGAACCTCTTTTGCCATCCGCGAAATCACTGGGTACGTGTCTTGGCTTGATGACCACCATTGAAGTTTGTGGATGTTCTGAACAGGCACCCAAGTTTGTAGATAATTCTCGAGTTCCCGTTCGAGGAATTCTTTCCTCTCTTTTCTTCTCCTTTCCACTACTTCCTTCCTAAAACGTTCGCATAAACTCAGTCGACCGAATGGGCCACGACGACCCCTATCTCCAATCTCTCCAGTCTCTTGTTGTGGCTGGGGTTCGGTAAAATTTTCACCGTACTTTGACTTGTACTCTTGGTAAAAATTATCCAAGAGCTGTCTAACGTTGTCCACAATAAGAGTCGGATCAGGTGAATGCTCGTCCTTGACAGGGATCAACTGATCATAATACATAGTCAAGTAATGTCCTAGAGAGGCTAGTCTAGTCCAAGGATCAAAAACATTAGCAAGTAAATTAATCAGTGGGAGGTTCAGACAATGTTTTTCCCATCTGCTCCTCATTGCCTCGACACAGCATTTTAGATCCTCGTCATTGCAATACTTATTCAAAGCGGTGGCAATGTGAATACAACAGAGTAACAACAAATCGCCGCTTTCATCACCATTCGAAATTTCTTCAACACCGAAATAGAAGCTTTTCAAAACATCACAAACCTTTTCCCACACAACCCATTGATTCGGAAGCAATTGTATTTCCTTGACATTCTCCGTGAAAAATCTGCTCAACAGCTCTTTGTACTCGAGAAACTTATGCAATAGAAGATAAGTCAGATCCCAACGGGCCGGGACATATCGTGAAAACTTTTCTGGATTCATTCGGTTCGTAGAGCAAAACTCGTACCACTGTTCTATGAGTCGTGGGTTTGACCACAAATAGTCAATTGCTTGCCTTATGGGTTTGAGCTGAAGATCTAAATGCTGCAATCCATCTTGTGCACATAAACTTAATAGACGGCTTACGTTGATGAAAGGATAAACTTTACCACCAATCAACGACTCAAATGTTGTCTTCAAATCTTCAATGCTTGCAGCATCTGAGCCAAGAGTGTCGAACAATATCGAAAAAATCTTAAGGGTTACACCGTACTCTTCCAATACTGACAATACAGTTCGGCAAATGTTCTCGGCCGTGTGCTCTCCCTGGAAAAATCTGAACCCTAGCAATCTTTTCTGAATGGACCAAGAATCATCTATCCAGTGACAAGCAACAGATATATATGAATGCACTTGCCAATAATCACGCCAAATTTCAACATATATACAAACCTTTGTTTTCACGCCGGCCAATTCCTCGATCAGATCATCTTTGCTTTTGCGGTAAGATAATTTCAGCGTGCGCGTGAGTGTAGCAGCCGGAACACGTTTGACGGCGGGATTTAACGAACCGCAAAGATCTTCAAAAGTTGGCCTATCGCCAAAATCGAGGGGGAGATTCTCAGCAGCGACAAGTTTAGCAAGATTCTGGGCAAATTTGCCATTTAAGAAAGCAACGTTACTTCTGGAAGATGAGTTTGTCGAGATTTCTCCGTCGACGCCGGAATCGATCGTCCTTTTCCGACTAGACTTTGAATCGGCCATTGACAATCAAAATTGAAAAAAATACAAAAGAACAAGACTTTGAATATGAAGCCTGAGAAAGTAGAAAATTTGAGAGAGATGTTTGCAGCTCGGAAAAAGTGAAGAAGGGCGGGCCTCCGGCGGTATTTTAGGGCTTATAACAAACGGTGAATTTTTCGCCGGCTTTAAGCTCCAACGGCTAAATCACGTCCACCGTTGATTATCATCGACCATACGAAATCTGGATGGTCGATAGTATGAGAATACACTCATAGTTTGTTGACCCGGATCGGCCGGGCGGGTGGACCCAGAACTAGAACCAGCCGACTCGGACTTGACCCGATCGGGTCAACTGGCCTATATATAACTATGTGTATATGTTTATATGTTAAGAAGAATTATGCTAGATTGCCCAAGTCCTTTGACAAAGAAGGGTTACAAAATGATGTGGCATCAAAAAGAAATTTTTTTGAAATTAAAAAGAAGTTTAAAATTACCATTATGCCCTTATTTGATAAAATATATATAAAATGAATTATACCATGACGGATATAAAACGTGATATGGAAATCCTGAAAAAACAGATAGATGAATTATTTAAATCTGTCCAACAACA